TCTACAAAAATGGTAACCCCTAAACACTGATTAGCTCCACTTAAACACTTAAAAGGCATGTTTCATACCTAGACTGTTTACCCTGAATAATGCTTATGATGAAAAGCTCATGCCACTCTTAATTGAATGTAAGGAGTTTTGTCTGGAAGGTTTAACTTTTGCAGGTCTGAGATACAGAGTATGGAGCAAGTTTGAACAGTGGTCAGTGGGGTTTTGGTAAGGGTGTGTTGTCCTATTTTTACTGCTTGTATGGTTCAGAGATTCGTGGTTAAAGTATGGTTGATGACAATATGAGAGTTCCGACACTTTCATAACTTTCTCCCTGTTCTTAATACTTGACATTGTTTGAGGACAAACAAGGATCTAAATCTGGGGGAATTGATATATGGTGTTTGTATTATATTCTAACAATGTTTTCTAAAGTGTTGTTGAGTCTTTATCGAGTCTTTTTATTTCTTTTTAAGTCATTACAGGTCTGGAGTTGCATTGGATAGAAGATGGACCAGTTGGAGTAAAATAGGCATAAAAGAGTACAAATTGGAGATTTCTGTGCGGAGCAGCCTAGCGGAACAGCCTGAAGTGCCTGCTCCGCGGCATATATTTTTAAGGAAATTACAACATATTTCGGGATTTTCCCTAATTCTCCTAGTTTTCTCTCCGACCCGCCAGCAGCCTCCATATATATTATTTTCCTCTTTTCTATTATATTCTACGCAGTTTTTTACAGAAGAAACCAGACTTGAGCTTTTGGAGATTTGTGATTCAATACTTTAAAAATCTTTGAGGGAGAAAAATCTCTACAACCTTTGGAGAAGATTTCTAAATCCTGTTGTTTATTATTTATTGATTCAGACATGTTTTCTTCATCTTTATTCTCTGTGATTTATCTGTTAATGGCTGAGTAGTCGCTTGTTATGTTTAGGGTGTTAGGGAACATGGATTAATGAGCTAGACACAAATAGGATTGTTATTCTTTGATATCTCTATCTATTGCTATGCTTACTGCTTGTATTAATTTGGCCATTCAACATCTGATATCAGGTTTAATCTAATCATCAAAAGTGTTTTAGGTTGCTAGAAAAAGTATAGATAGGCGATTTGTCCTTAGCCAACGAGAGCTGATGTTAAGGCAAATCGTGAACCAATTGAATCTGATCTTAATTCTTGTCATCAGTCTCTAATCCAAACGATAGTTTAGGTGATAGGATTGCTTGATAAATTAGTAGATACCACGGCAGTGGGTTTATCTAATCTTGTTGTTCAAGTTCTAGATTGACTCGTACTGTTTTCCTTAATAGTTGTGTAGCTCATGATCCTAAATATCCCAATAAATCACCCAGAACCTAGCTCTTTTATTATCTGAAACCAAACCAACTTGTTACTTGCTTTTTACGATTCCTTCTCTTTAAAAAAACCCCATATTGTTTTAGCTTAATATTGATCCCATAAAAATAAAATGTAATAGTTGGTCTTTGTGGATTTGATCCTCAAGTACTACATCGAACCTCTTATTTGAGAGAGTAGCTTAAAGGTTAATTTGAGCATATCAGGTATCCGGTTGGTCGACTAAAAGGGGGAGAACGTTTCCTATCGAACTTTCCTGAATATTGGATTTTCACTGTGACATCGGCGTTTATTAGTCCCGTGGCTGGATCTATTGTCTTCTTATGTTCGAATCCCCATAGGATCATATCAACTCTTTTCCTTGGAGCTGGAGGTGGAGACTCTGGCGATTCGGGCTCAGTTTCTCTGTTCCTCATGGTCTTTCCTTTTGACCTTTGGGGTCGTTGGCGCTACTTCTTCTTCTGCGTTCTTGCCATTCTCTTTGTTTTCTTCCTTGTTGCGGAGTACTGCAGCAATCCTCGGTTGAGTGCCCTTTACATTTTTGAAAGACGCAATATTTTTTTGGGTCATATGTCAATTTTTATTTTGTGATTGCGTAAGAGTGCTTTCCTTTAGTAGTCTATTCTTTCGGGGTGCTCGGCTTTTTCTGTGTCCCGTTTTTGCTCGCGCTATACTACTTTTTCAGAGCGGCGACTTCTTCTTATTTATGGGTCGTGAAATAGGATGTGCAATACAATGCGTCGTCTAATAAGGCCGGAGCTCGGACTCTTCCCTAAACTTAGAAGAGAACTAGACACCATTTTTCAGGGTTGCTAGTGCGACTACTTTGTTTAGGTTTGTTATTTTGGATTTGAGCTCTTTGAACTTTTTTATGTAGGCTCTCAGTGGTTCGAAAGGTGCTTTCTTAAGGTTCCATAGATCGGCCTCTGTGGCTCGTTTCTCTATGAACACCAAATATTGCTTTAAGAACGCTGATACGAGCTGGGTGAAATCGTCAATCAAATTTCCTTCTAGTTCAGCGAACCACTCCAAGGCAAATCCTGTGAGATTTTCAGCAAAGAAGTGGCAGTAGCCTGCTTCTCTCTCTTCCTCGTTGAGATGCACCCTTGAAACGGCTAATCGGAAGGCTTGCACATGAGCTTTTGGATCGGAGTTGCCTGAATATTCAGGGAATTTAATCTTACCGACGTCGTGTAGCATTACACTGTTTCCGACTTGTGAATGGGGTCCTACGAGTTTTCATCGATGACTTTGATCGATGTCGGGGGGCGAGCTCATTGCCATATGTATGATGGCATGTATCTTTTTAAGTTTGGCGTCATTTCTTTTGACGTAATGTATGAATGCTCCTGCTTGGCTCGGGAATCTTTGATCTTTTCCCTGTAGATTTTTGTGCAAAGATCTAAAAGGGTCATATCCATGGGCGGGACCCAGCGATACCGTGAATTCGGTTCGTTGAGGTACATTTGTCCCAAGAGAAAAAAGATTGTCTCGAGTTCGATGTTGTGGTGGAGACATTTGAATTATGGGCTCTTCGCATCCTCCGGTGGGCCTACTTTTAGTTCGAATCGATGTGGTTCTAAGACCTTGCGTTTCATTCTCAATCTTTTCTTGGCCACTGTAATCTAGACTTCGATAGGTTTTTCCCTCTGGTGGGGTTTGTTGCGAATTTTCCCCTGCGTAGCATCCTGATCGAACGCTAGTAAGCTCGGGAGAAGCGAAGGTTCCACAGCTTGAAGGGAGCGTAGGGATGGAACCGATTGTTGTCGAATCCTTTCCCTTGGTTTTGCTCGGTACTCGGCGAATTCCTTCTCATCTTGTTCCAAACGGTTCGCGATGGTTTCGGTGAGCTATCTCTTGATTGCGGGATTTATTGATGAGTGTTTGAACCAGTCCCTTGAGTTCATCGACCTCTTCCCGGGACCGGGTTAGGATGGTCGGAGATCTCGGTTTATCGGTCGGATCGGATCTTTGGAAGTCGGTCTTTCTGTCATATGGTTCCAAACTTGAGATCCAATCCGGTCAACGGGAGGATTTCAATTTGGAATCGTACTCCTGTCGTTGATCGAAATTCATGTCGGTGAAGTCCGTTGATTTTGGAGCACGTAGGTCGTTTCGCTGACATTCGTTTGTTCGACGGAAGTCGTTTCGGCCCTTAAGGCGGTTTCTACGGGATTGACATCGGTCGATCTCGATCGAGAGTTCTCGATGTTGGTTGCGTTGGGATCCATAGTTGTGCTTAGAGATCCTAGATCAGGTTCTTAACAAGGGCGTTTTTCGTTTATCATACCCACAGTCGGTGCCAAAATGTAGATCCTAAAATCCACACTAAGTATTTTATAGTGATTAAGAGTTAAATCTAGGAAAGACAAATGATGTGGGTAACGATGCTCTTAGAACATAACGATACAATCGGAATTCAGTTGACAAAAATGGACTTTGTTGATATGAGGTTTGATATAAAACAATAATCGAGATCAAGAATAACAAAGAGAGATCGAAGCTATAAACAAATAAGAGACTAAGAAATGTGGTTGATAAGAGTAATGGTAAACTCTAGGGTTTTCTGTCTGTATTGTGATTCGCTCTAGCTCTCCTTTTATAGCTCCTTTCTTGGTTGATCCTCTGCAACTATCTCTGTGATCTTCGGGGTACCGGTTCAATCTCGTCGGACTTGATGTAGGTCGAATTGGTTACCGATGGCAATGTATGGGCTTGAGCCTATTTAATTCTTACCGAAATTGGGTCCAACAATACTCATAATCTTTGATAATGCATTTTTCATCTTCCAGCTAAACAAAGACTCAGTGCTTCAAGTAACAACAGGAACTTACAGTAGCTGCACCTCATAAAGAGTTATCATCAGAGGAAACAAAGACAATTGTCACAAGAACAGAATCTTGTAATCATTATCATGGCTGCACAGCGAACCGATCTTCACCGATCACCACCACCTTCGCCTTCTGTAGAATACTCACCATCTCTACATTTACACAGGAACCTTTAAATTAACTCTGGAAATCCAGGTTTTCCTCTTCTTCCTTTATTTTGCCTTCTACTTTCACTGATACTGTGTTTCTTTCTCTGTCCAGCTAAGTTTTTTATATTAGCCAAGAAATCCTGAATGGAGATGTGGGCGGAGGCTTCTGAGAAATACAAATAACCTCTAGCTTTTTTCAGATTTTGCCGAGCATCTGAAATAACTAGTGAATTACAACTTTATTGTACTGCAATTGGCGCATTGATCTTTGCAGCTTAATAATCAAAATCAGCAGAAGCCAATTCTTGAAAATCTCAGGTTTACACTGCTAGATCGAATTCATACTGTGTCTATATTTGTATGTCGTTTCTTTCCCCTTCTCTTTTTAGCTAATCTAAAAGATGAACAATATTCATAATACCATTAGACATTTAGACCTATATACAAATATGAATGATACAGAAACATGATGGAAAAAGGAAAAGGAATAATAATCAAGAATCAAGAAGATATAAAGATGCTACGACCAACATTGTTTCCTTATTATGTGAAACTAATATTCCAAAACAAACATAGTCTACAAGGTATGTACGAACTGAGGTTTTTTCTCTATGTTTTTTAAGTTCTTATAAGAAACATAAAAGAATTAACATCTAAACCACTCACTCACTCCTGATCAAATGTTCTTCCCGAGCTCCACCTTCTTCACCAGTCTGATTGTGTTTTGAAATATCGAATCTAGTATCCCCGCGACCTGAAATCCAACAAGCAAAATCATACTGTCACCATGGAAAACAGAAGCAAACGAAACAGTGTAAGACAACAAGTGAAAGAGAGAGAAAAAAACACTATACCGTGAAAACACCACCTATTATAGCGCAAACATTTGTAATGAAGTGTGAGAATGACTTTGGGTTCTCGCTTATTAAGACCTGCAAAAAAAACATGAGAAGGCTTAAAAGAGGAGAGTATGCACTGACTTTGGTGAGAGACAACATGGCGAGAGAGAAACCTGCACAGGAGAGAGGTCAAAGTGAAACTTTGCAACGGGATAATAGTAACCATGAGCCACATTGCTATGAGCCGTATACTCGTACTCCTCAATCACTGAGTGTTCTTGACCGAATCTTCTTGAAACGACTTCTGTTTTGACTACTTGAAGATAGTGTTCGATCTGTATACTTTCACAAGTTAAAAGAGAAACCACGAGTCTTAATAACTTCAGGTTAAAAGTCTGTGGGACTTACGGTAACATTAGCAGCAAACTGTCCTTCATTTATGAACCATTTACTATTAAGCCTGTCATGGCTTTGGCCAAGATAAGGCAGTAATCGTTTCATATCAGTCAACAACCTTTCTGAAATCATTTTACCAAACGAGAGATGGGAAACATAATGAGACATGTTCATTTGAGAAGCATCAAACGAATGAGCTCCTGAATGAGCTGAGATAATGATTTCACCCGGAATCTGAAAACAAACAATATTAATACCAAAATGGCACCATTAGAAGATAAAAAACAGAACATTGTCACATTGATAACCTCATAAAGTTGAATATACCTTCTTGGCACGCACATAGCCTACGATTCTACAACCACCACTAACTGGTGCCTTCTTGATACTTGAAACCACATTATCAGTTTTACCTTCTAAAGCTAACTTGTGATCCTCCTTTTTCATAGGTTTGAGCAGTTCTTCCACCATCTGGATGAAATATATCATTGTATTTGTATACGAATTTTTTTTGTTATGTAAATGTACAAACTAGTGCAATTATATATATTCATTCCTAATGACTGAATATAATTTAGATTAGTATTACCTTGAGTATGCTCTCTGTGTCCCTGTCTCCATAGTAAGATTCATGTTCATGGTGCCCATGGTCCTCCCTGCACAAGGATTTGAGAGTGACCATTATCACAAAAGTGGATGTGGAGTTACACGAAGAGAGAAGAATAAATGGCTTTAAGTAGATGACATGAAGATCAATTTTTCTCTCACTTAAGATCACTTCCTTTGCGAAAAATCCTGATAGATGGGTAGCCTTGTATATGGTTCCTGAAAATTTCATTTCACACATTAAAATTCAACAAGAAATAGGCGAGAAAATATAAAAGTTGGTGTAGATACCTCTTGCACAGAGTAGCTTCTTCGGTGCAATCAACACTTCCTAGAAGAACACGCCCATCAGTTTCAGGATTATATCTGAAATTCCAAAACAGAAGGCATAAAAAATGATGAGTTGATGATTCTTCAAGGTTTCGTAACAAATAAAAAATAAAAACCCAACTACACACCTCTCTCTTGTTATTTCAGCTGCTTTCTCCCATGATGGTTTCTGAAATTTATTTAGCACGACAACAAAAGAAACACTGTAAAAGACTACGTATGGAAATACTTTTATTGAGCTAACATAGGTAATCAAACCAACATTACCAAGCGATTACTCCAGTAGCACCATGGCGCAAAGAAATTAACAACCAAGATTTGAAAACTGCATAAAAAAGTCCGGTTACAATTGTTCATCTTAAAACCATTGGACAGGTACTAATAGTATTATACACAAAATATAAAAGAAGTTACCAACTTACTGATGTGAAAACTTGTCAATAGTAGCACCAGTTAATGGTATAGCAGCATAAGTATTGTTTCCATGATCTTCGTCTCCATGGTTGATGAGATCTAATCCAGAAGTGGAGTGGACTTCTGCACCAGTGGCTCTTAAATGCGGATCAATAGGAACTTTCTTAATCGTTTTCGTTAGATTCAACCTGTTCTGCAAAACAGTTTACTAACAAAGTTTAACCATAGGTAATTACATACACGCTAAGAACCATCCTTTGCAATGACAAGATCTTCATTTCATGGTTTATACAACAAGACTGAGACATAGAAACAGAAACTTACAGTTCCCAACACGTCTCTGACATCAACCGATGCAAATTCACATGAGAGGGAAGGAAAGCTACAATAAAAAAAAAGTCAAATTATCAAGAAATGACCAGAGTTATAGAGAAGACTGAAACAGAAAAGAAGAATGATACTGATGAAATGTCAGTCTACCTGACGTTGAAATCAATGCGTAAGAAGTCCCCATCAGAGCTATTGTCGACTATAACAGATGTGTTAGTGGTAACTGCCAAATAAGTACTCAGCTCCTGCAAGTTCAAACCATTAACTAGAATCAATGGGACAATGCATAAGCATATGATAGGCCTCACAGTCATAGATGACTTCTTTTTTTTTGTTTTTTTTTTGTGGTAAAAAGATGACTTTTTTTTTATTACCATTCCAAACAAGAAGATCATAGCGAGGGCAGCAACAATGGACAATCCAGCACCAGAGAGAGATGCCTCAGTCAAATCTCTTGGGATTTTCCTGAAGAACCAAAAAAAAAACACACTTAGCCGTCTAAGTCCAGACAACACAAGTATACAATTCTCAGAGTAATGCATGTTCCAAGTACATAGTGTCCAAAATATAGAGTAAAGGTCCAGACTTTACGGATGTGCATCAAAAGCCAATATCATCAGCACTGGAATACACAATGGAAGAGAAGCTGGTACCTGTAAAAATCGACGGACTTGATCTTGGTGGTGGAAACCATGGCTGACAGAAACAAGACACGAAATTAAACAGAAATCTATCTCCACAGTGATCTCTCTCTCTCTCTCTCTCTCTCTCTCTCTCTCTCTCTCTCTGTATCTCCCAATCTTGTTCCTATATGATACCACAAGCTAAACTCAAATGTAATGATTATTTATTTTCAAGGAAAGAAGATTTTCATCATCTAAAGTTTATATTACTTGATCTTACAAAAGGCAATAAATTAGCAAAAGATATTCACTGACTCATACTATAAATATGTAGAATTATAATTATGGTATCTAATCCAGAATAGAAGTGAAGTAAATCAGTCTTGATCTTTGAACTTTGACCTTTTTTAGTTACCAGAAAAAAAACTTTGACATTTTTTTTTTTTCAAACTAAACTTTGACATTTTTTTTTTTTAAAAGTAATATTAAAGAAAGAAAAAATTAACCTTTGACCAGGAAAACGACACCCTTCATAAAACCTGCAGTTTAATAAAGTCAGTTAGAGAAGAAGTGACTCTCTCACATCCTTGCTTATTCAAGTTCATTTGGCATGAATATACTTCCCCGTCTTGCTGTTTTTTTGACCCAAAAAAATGATGTAGTGTTCTTATTCTATATGTATTTTAATAGAGTTTAAATCTAAGAACAATCCACCGTTATACGATTGATTATTCTAAATTTTATTTTGAAATCTAGTGTTATTAAATATGATATCTAAATTTTTATTTAAAATTTGATGTTATTTAATAAATTATTTAAATTCTATTTTTAAAATATAGTGTTAATCAACTTGAAAGGATTTAAATTTCTTTATGTTTAAAACTGATCTCAAATCATTATTTCTGGATTCTCGTAATTAAATAATTAAAATCAAAATGCAAGACATACTACAGAGATTTTAAAATCTACCAATTATAACTATATTAAAAATTTAAAATTTAATTGATTACAAAACATTAAAAAAAGACTTTAAATCTTTGGTTGATTGTTTTCGTCAAAAAATAAAAATCTTTGATTGTTACTTATTATAGTGAAAATCAAATGGTGCCCGAAGATATGTCAAATGAAGAAACCAAATAGTGAAAATCTTTAGGTTCAACCGTGCACTTACAGAAATAGAGGAGGTCACCGAAGTTGTTAAATTGGCGTGGAATCATTACCCTCTCGAATCTATTCTTTCTAAGCTCATTTTATGCCGATGCAGTATCATCCAGTGGGTTAAAGAACAGAATACCAAAACTAATTTGGTTATAACTCAGGTCCAATTGGATTTGGAAGCAGCCTTATTTGCTGAGGCCAAAGACCAAAACCTTATTGAATCAATTACGGTTACTCTGAGAAACGCGTATAAAAAGAAAAAACAATGTTGGTTGCAGCGGAGTAGAATTCATTGGCTCAAGAGTGGTGATAGGAACATCGGATTCTTCCATTTGGTTTCATCATTTGACATCTTTCAAATACTATCATCATAATGTTTATGTCTCATAAGTTGTCTTTTTTTTTTGCGCACAATCTTAAGTTGTATACATGTAAAAGATCATTGATAAATTACATCAAAAGATTGATAATTTGTTAAACTAGCTAAGAAAGTTGTGGAACCTTCTCGTCAACTAAATTAGCTAAACAATTGGCTATGAAATTAAAGGTAGCTGATCATGGACCTGTTGGATATGTTTGAGGTGATAAAGAAGTTTTTGGAAACAAAATAAGAAACTGAAACTTATCTCTTTTTACATCTCATATAACCTTCTGTATTCTCAGATGCAGGCTATAGTAATTAAGTAGTGTATATAGCAGAATTATATATATATATAAAGCTTTGTCTCATTTATGATCCTAGAGTACACATTTGCAAAGTGTTAAATTTCAAACTGCAATCCATTTTCTATATATTTACTTTTCAATAATAGTAAATATTTTACATCAAAGAATTAATAATAATAATAATAATCACAGGTAAAAACCTTTAAAAAAAAGAATCACCAAACAGTAAAGTTAGATAACATTGATAAAGGAACTTGTTACCAAAAACAATAAAAAAATAACATTAATAAAGGAACTAGAAAAAGTCCTTTCTTCTTCAGTTCTGCAGATAAGAATTCTTCATTTGTGATTTCATTTATCTTCAATCTTGTGTCTCTTACAACACAATGTTTCTGGAACGCTTACCTCGGATGTAACATTTGTATTATTTTCACCACCATCCAACACATGAAAACCCTGGATAGACATCAAAAAAATGTTAAATCATAACAAAAAAAACACTAATTCCAGAAACTAAGATACACTCAAGTGTATCTAACCTTAGTTTTATTAGAAGGAGAAGAGGTTGTGTCTTCTTCTTCGTCTTCTTCTCTTTCTTGTTGTTCTTCTTCTTTGGGTTGATGGATGATACGTCTCTTTTTAGGGTTTGTATTAATGCTATTAGCCTTTCGAATAGCAATGTTATTTCTTTATGTTGTGGACAGGAGATGCAGCGTTTGAGATCATGGATAATTCATTATCGTAGTAATGACTCATTTCTTCGACAAGTTCATCTTTATGATCATTGTCCTCAAAGTAAATTAGCCAACCACTCTCTTCTTTTTGTTCATCTTCTATGTGTATCATTTTGATTTGGTGATTAGAGAATACTCCATGTCTCATGCAGTTGTTTACGGAGTTCTCCATTGAAGCGTTGGGGGAATGTAAAAGAAAGATTTGTATGTAAGCTGAGACTTTTGTTGCCAAATGATTTTTTATATGGTGAGTTCTCATTTATATTCTAAAAGATAGATAGAGACGGAGATCATGGAAGGTTTAGGTGTGGCACATATTGGTCCATTTGTCATTTATGTTTTTTTCTCTATTGTATAGTTCTTACATATTATTATTATTATTATTATTATTATTATTATTATTATTATTATTATTATTATTATTATTATTGGATCTTAGGCATATATGGATGGCAAGATTCACAACACCATCTAATTGAGGTAAAGAGATGTGCAAGTGTTTATATATGCAAATCTCTGTTATTTAGCTGGTTACATGTTTATTATGTTCACATTTGATTAAAGTTTATAAGCATTCTTCTGTTAAGTATTATCTACAATTTGAGAATTTAAATAGGAAAAACAATCAAAATTTTCACAGTTGTAATATTTTTTTTTTTGAAAAATTCATTTGTATTATTGTATAGTGTCTGGTTTAGTCCGGTTTAGTTAGACTAGAGAGTATGATTTGATTTCATTCAGTTTACGAGATTAGTCAAATGTATATATATCTTGTACCGAACTCATTTTGTCAATTGAGAAATAAGAGATCATTCATATTCGAAATCCTCTTTGCTCATGTTCTCTAATATGGTATTAGAGCTCTTTTAGCTCATTTCTCTTTGATTCTTCTTCGTTTATAACCTAATTTCTATCTCCGATCATTGATTCTTCTGCTTATTCATCAAATTCTGCGATTATCGAGCTCAAATCTGGTGAAAATTGTGAAGAGAGGGGGAAAAATGAGGACGCGAAGTGCGATATCAGAGGACGATGATTCCGCTAACAAATTTTGTCAGGATTTCCAGAATCTCGAAGATAAACCTCACACTGCGATGACGAACCCTTAACAAAATCATCGATCGATGACTCCAGGAGGTACCGGATCTATGTGTAAGCCATCAGAAGCGTACGATAGCATACATAGTCCGTTTTTCCTCCATTCTGCAGATCATCCAGGTTTGAGGAATTTTGTTCATACTCTTGACGGTTCGAACTACAATAGCTGGTCAATTACTATGAAAATAAGCTTAGATGCTAAGAATAAGCTTGGTTTTATTGATGGATCGCTTCCGAGGCCGTTAGTAGATGATAACTCATTTAAGATATGGAGTTATTGCAATAGTATGGTGAAGTCATGGATTCTGAATGTCGTGAGTAAGGAGATTTATCATAGTATTTTGTATTATCAAGATGCTGCTGAGATGTGGAATGATTTGTTTCGAAGATTTAAAGTGTGTAATCTACCACGGAAGTACCAATTAGAACAGGCGGTGATGACTCTTAAATAAGAAGACCTAGATTTGTCCACCTATTTCATGAAGAAGAAGACATTGTGGGAAAAACTAGCCAATACGAAGTCTAGCACAGTGAAGAGATGTGATTGTGATCAGGTCAAGGAACTTCTCGAGGAAGTAGAGACAACCCGTATCATACCGTTTCTGATGGGATTAAATAATAACTTCAACAACATCCGTGGTCAGATACTTAATATGAAGCCGAGGCCGAGATTGAATGAAATTTACAACATGCTTGATCAGGATGAGAGCCAACGTATGGTAGGAAGACCTTCAGTGATCAAACCTAATCCATCTGCTTTTCTGAATCAACCACAGTTTGCAGATCAGAATCAAAACCCTGCCCTTATGGCACATGGTGGTGGTTATCAGAAACCAAAATGCTCACATATCTTCCGCATTGGGCACACAATTTACAAGTGCTACAAGGTCCATGGTTATCCACCAGGACATCCATGTGCAAAGACGAGTAACACGATTGGAAATACTAACTTGGCTGCTACAATGAATGTGTCTCAAAACCAGAATGAGAAAGGTTTTGATGATTTGGGAAGTAATATGTCTAAGGAACAACTTCAACAGATGATTGTGTTCTTCAGCTCAAAGCTCCATTCTCCGAGTGTTACCTCATGCCCAGATAAATCAATAGCTTCGACTTCAACTTTTTTACCAGCCAGATATCAAATTTCTGGTACCTTCCTCACTCTCTATAATAACTCTTACTATGACATGCTGACTTGTTCTGTATCTAAAGAAATAGAGCAGTCTCTTAGAGCTTGGATTATAGATTCCGGGGCTAGTCATCATGTTACTCACAATAGAGATTTATATAGAGAATATAAGAGTTTAGAAAACACCTCTGTTGCCCTTCCCAATGGTTACATAGTTAAGATACCAGGGACTGGTTATATTCAACTTACTGATGCTTTATCTCTGCCTAATATGTTGCATATTCCTGAGTTTAAATTCAATTTACTAAGTGTTAGTGTTATGACTAAGACGTTGAATTCTCAAGTTTTCTCTACTTCTGATGCGTGTTTTATTCAGGCTCTTACTCCGGAGTTGATGATTGGTCACGGTAGTCAAGTTGCAAATTTATATGTCTTAGATCAAGAGAATTCGCGTGTTAATCTCATTGCTCCAAGTAACTGCTCTGTTTGCTCGAACCTGGTGATTGATTCTATGACATGGCACAAACGTTTAGGACATCCGTCTATGAAGAAAATTGAATCTCTTTCTGCTGTTTTACAATTACCTAAAGATAAACATGTTAAGCATTCTGATGTATGTCATGTTTGTCACTTGTCTAAACAAAAGCGGTTACCCTTTGTAACTCGTAATCACATTTTCAATAAACCTTTTGAGTTAATTCATATTAATACTTGGGGTCCATTCTATGTTCCTGTTGTTGATGGCTTTAAGTATTTTTTTAACTATTGTTGATTATTACAGTAGAGCTACTTGGGTTTATATGCTTAAACAAAAATCAGATGTGTTACATGTGTTCCCGAGTTATATACAAATGATTAAGAATCAATTCCATATGAATGTTTGTTCTGTTAGGTCTGATAATGCTAATGAATTGAATTTTAGGAACCTTTATTTGAACAAAGGAATAAAAGCATATCATTCATGTGCATAAACTCCTGATCAAAAAAAAAAGGAACTTTTATTTGAACAAAAGAATAAAAGCATATCATTCATGTGCATAAACTCCTGAACGAAATTCCGTAGTTGAGAGAAAGCATCAGCATTTGTTGAATGTAGCTAGAGCTCTTATGTTTCAATCAGGTATACCTTTAGAGTATTGGGGGGGGGGAGGGATTGTATATTAAATACAATATTCCTTATTAATTGATTACCTTCTCATGTCCTAGAGAATAAGACACCTTATGAGAGCTTAACTTCTATGGTTCCAGATTATCATTCCCTTAAGACTTTTGGTTGTCTTTGCTATGTGTCTACACCACCTAAGTCTAGGAATAAGTTTGAGCCTAGAGCTAAAGCATGTGTTTTCTTAGGATACTCAGCTGGTTATAAGGGATACAAGCTATTAGATATAGAGACTCGCTCAGTTTCTATTTCAAGGCATGTCATTTTTCATGAGGATATTTTCCCTTTTGCATCTTCACACAATCTAGAAGATGTCAAGAGTTTCTTTCCTCATCTTCATTTTCCTATAACTAATGATGTTTTGCCTCTTGTACAAACATGTTTCGATGCTCATCATCCTTGTGATGAGTTATCTTCTAAAGTTTTTGTTCCTTCTGAACTTAAGTCTACTCGGCCAAGAAAAATGCCTTCCCATTTGAAGGATTTTCATTGCTATACTAATACTCCTATACATACTACTCCATATCCATTACAAAACTTTATTTCTTGTTCCTATCTATCTGAGCCTTATAGTGCTTTCATTAATGCCATTACCCCTATAAAAATTCCTCAAAGACTTTCAGAGGATCTTGAAGATAAGGTATGGTGTAACTCGATGGGAATGGAGATTGAAGCTTTTGATGGTACTTCAACATGGAGTGTTACTGAATTACCTCATGGTAAAACTGCAATAGGATGTAAATGGCTTCATACGTAGAAGTTTAATCCGGATGGTATAGTTAATAAAGCAAAATCGAGACTTGTTGGAAAAGGATATACACAGCATGAGGGTATTGATTTCCTTGACACATTCTCTCTAGTAGCTAAAATGACTACTGTTCGTTTGATTTTTTCTCTAGCTGCTAAATTGAATTGGCATTTACATCAGTTGGATATATCCAATGCTTTCCTCAATCGAGATTTGGATGAAGAGATATATATATATGAAACTTCCACCAGGGTATGCTGATATTATGGGGGAACAAATCTCACCAACTGCAGTGTGTAAATTTCACAAGTCCATTTATGGTTTGAAGCAAGCTTCGCGTCAGTGGTTCTTGTAATTTTCTGCAACCTTGTTGGGATTTGGTTTTGAGAAATGTCATGGAGATCACACACTTTTCATCAAAGAATTTGCAGGGAATTTCTAGGTTGTAAGTGTGTATGTAGATGATATACTCATTGCGAGTACTTCTCTGGATGGAGTGAGTGAATTGATCAGCAAATTGAATGCTGCTGTCAAGCTACGTGATTTGGGAATACCAAAGTATTTTCTTGGCATCAAAATTGCAAGAATTGCTAAAGGTATTTCCTTATGCCAGAGGAAATATGTGTTGGATTTGTTGGAAACTTCTTGTTTCTCTGATTGTAAACCTTCTTCCATACCTATGGAACCTAATTAGAGATTGTCTAAGGAGGATGGAGTGTTTCTAGAAGATGTTAAGCAGTATCGTAGACTGGTTGGGAAGTTGCAGTATCTCACAAATACTAGACCTGACATTGCTTATGCAGTTTCTAAGCTAGCTCAGTATTCATGTGCTCCAACCGATGTTCATTTAAAGGCAGTTCATAAGGTATTGAGATATCTTAAAGGTACTATTGGACAAGGTGTATTCTATTGAGTTGATGATGATTTTGACTTGACAGGTTCTCTGATTCTGATTGGGGAAGTTGTCCTGATGATAGGAGATCTGTTACTGGTTATGCGATGTTTATTGGTAGCTCTTTAGTTTCGTGGAGATCA